ATTGCCAAAAACGATGATTTTCGTATATAACTGCTTGAAATCATCCGTTTTAGAGGTCGATTTACAAGCTGCAGTAATCCTGTTCTTCAACGCTGGGCGGTTCCAAAGAGTACATCCTGGTGAGATGATTCACATTGTATTTGTTCATAGAACGAAATCCATTGCCATCGGCATCTTCTTTTTCTTACAAAGTACAAAACTTGTGAATCATCGTTCTATTTTGCAGCTAATAATATCCGCTGAGAAGTTTAGTACTTAGCGAAGATAACTGTATGGCCCGAGTAATGGTTTTCTGGTGTGCCCCAAAAAAATCCCTGATTTTGCTTAAAAATTCGTTAGCGAATAATTCATCGACAGTGAACTGGAACAATAACAATCAAATAATAAAAATCTAAAATACTGGTGAGTACAAGGGCAAAATTGGTCAGCTAACGCTATTCAATAAAATTATTGGAAAATGAATGCTGCCTAGGCAACTGTCCAGATAAGACAATTATCACAAAAACAGGGTACAAAAAAAGTTAAAAAAATTACAGCACTTTAATTTATAAAATTAAGTTAATCATAATAAAAATGGAAAAATCTCATACACAACTTGGGCTAAAAATTATAAAATTTGGGCAAAAAATGTGCTAGAGAAATCTACTACGAAGTGATATGTAAGAAGAGAATAGGTAGATGACCCGCCACAAATAACCCCTCCTTGGATGGATGATAACCATTGGAACCGCGATTTCAGAAGGCACAACTCACGAAACAGTGCACATTCACGCATTTTTCCTCACGGAAACGAAAAGCAATGACAAAATGGAACTTGTGAACCCTTCACATGCACAGATGTAACCCAGAAAATTAATTCACAAAATTCAAAATGCGCGAAAAAAGGGTGCTCGTTTTATGTGGTGCACTTTACAGACGATTTTGAGAAATTCTTTTTAGAAATTTCGGTATCTCTGCGAATTTCTGTGCAAATAATTTCATTTCCTATTATTTCCTACAAATATTTTCATTCCCTACGATTTTCTACGATACTATTGAGCTAAACTATTAAGTGAAGAACCAGCATGCATGGTAAAAAGCGTGAGACATCCAGCATTTCCCGATAAAAAGCGAAAAAAAATCTCGTCCGAGTGAACAAAAAGGAGCACTTCCTCTAATCACAGCAACCATGGCAAGGTTTTCAGCTGTATCGCGATGGCATGGAGATTTGCGGTTACAATGAAACACCTACTATTCAGAGCAGTAAAATAAAAGATGAAAAACTATTCTTTATTTCTAATACCATCCCTATTAGCGCCACAGTTTCGA